TATTCGTTTATTAGGGTGTAACGATTTGCAAATGCATTTCAGTGCAAGCAAGAGACCATCTAAGTGTCAAGGATACTAATAGACATTGCATATAGACCGTTGCAGTATCACCGAATTTATGTTAGTGTTTGGCCGAGCTTCTCCCCCGATTTGTGTGGTGTGCGCCTTATTGTTGTCACACAAAGGGGAGGCGAGGGGTGACCGCTGTTAAGAAAAAACATTTTTTCTAATTTTTTTCTTTCGATGTTTGCTTTGGCCAGGGCTTGAACCCAGGCCTTGCAGAGTGAAAGCGCTAACTGCTTATCACTACACCACAGTAGCCTCCAGACAGAAGTACATGCTATAGAAATATATGCGGTCTTCCAGTGGGATCTTAACGGAAAGCCAAGTGGCTATTCAGATTCTCATATATCATTAATAAGGAACCTTTCATCGTCCTACAGCGCCTCTTGCTCAAACAAGTGTTAAAAGCTTAGATAAACTTATGGTAGATTCTAGGCAGAGCTATCACTTGACTATTTAAACTAGGAATTTACTTTCATGAGAACTGCAGATTATGCAAAATGAGGCTTTTTGGACACACAATAGATATTAGGTTTATAATGGCCGTGTTCTCAATAGATAGAATTAATAGGCAGTAAACCGTCCGTTGCAATATTTTGTGGTCTCATTGGATCTTCGAGATTTTTATGAGTGGGTAAACATTGAAGGCAATATGAAGGAGAGAACTTCAGATTTGCTTACCCTGTCAGAAGTAAGGGTATAAATTTTTAAGTAATGCTGACTAAAAGTTGCCCACTGATTATCAAGCCAACTACGTTCTCATACGTAGCGGGCTATTTTTTCGTCAACTTCCACTTGAGACGAATACTCTTTGTAGGAGCTTGACTAGACTAAAGCGAAAACCCTTAAATTTTTTCACGGTCCGACTTAGAAAGAGAAAGAAAGAGATTTAGGAATTCACATACATATGCAGGAATTTTTTTGCTATTAGTTATCGGTGTTGGAGCTTGAGGTCGTTTTTTAGGAAATTTTTATACATTTCTTATTACTGATGAAGTTATAGGTATATAAACCATTCACAAACAACGCAAGATTTGAAAATGTTTTGGGCCCCAATACCCCTTGTTCTGCCTGATTTATTAAACCAATAATTTTAACGCGCATTTACTGTACTTCCCTGAAACTGACCTTGAGTTTTAAATTTTATTTTATAATTTCTTGAAAATAAAATGAAAATAAAATTCCTTCTTCCAATGCAGCTTTTAAAGTCTGGTCTCATGCCGGCCGGAATATAAATACGTATAAGGCATGCATATATGTTTTTATATATGCATTTACATATACATACATATTTTATTGGTTGCGCCGTTATCAGCTTATAATAAAACCACGAAAATATGCATTCGCTCGAGTAAGCGGACGCTGCTGCTTCAAGCAAAGAATTGGTTGACATTTCTAATGCGTTTGTACTAGAGATGCCAGATCGAAATAAAAAATATCGATTATTGAATTGATTCGAATCGAAATAAAAATAATCAAGGCAGGAAGAAGTCGTCAAAAAATAAATCGATCTCACAAGATCGGATCATATATTTTGTCAAATAACGCCTTTTAAATACTTAATTTTCTTAAAGAAACAAAACACTGCAATTTGACCAACACTGAAATCACAAACATTAGCTCTGATCCAATACTTTTCGTGTCAAATCCTGTAAAAATGTCAAACAGCAAAATTACTCTCTGAAGTGAAAGTAAAAAATTAGTACCAACAAAAAGCACGGGACCAAAAAAAATCATTTTCCCTATAAAAACGTCAACCAGTGATAGCTTGCCATTTTTCATGATTTTAACAAAAGGAACAAAACTCTCCCAAAATCGCTTTCATTTACAATACTTTGGAGTAGGGGATAATTTTTGCTGTAACTTCCTGCAAGTTCGAGTAAAAACCAGTAAGTTCATGGAGTACTGGATCAGAGCGAATATTGTAAGTAGTATCAAAAAGTTATCAGGTAGCTAGCAATCCGCAAAAACTTAACAAAAATTATACGTGACAGGTAATAAGGTCAATGGAAATAAGGTCAATTGACTTTATTTCCCACCCTGGTGCGAAATAAAGTCAATTGACATTATTACCTTTTCAAAAGCGAAATAAAGTCAACAAAAATTTGGAAATAAACTCATTGACGCTATTGGAAAAATGGAAATAGCGTCAACAATGCTTAAAGTATGTCGATTCATTGAAAAAAATGTTGTTCTTACAATAAACATTGCCCCGTAAGTGTTTTTAATAGATGAAAAAGGCTTTTGCCAAATCCTCATTATTGTGATAGTAATCCACACACAATCATGAACTACCACCAATTGATTCTATTAAAAAAAGAATTTAAATTAAGAATATGTAAAAACACGATGCGAAAAACGCACAGCTGGTATACGAGAAATATTTGAAGAAAGATTGGAGAAATGATCCATAACTTTCAAAACATTTTTCGTTTCTACAAAAATAAAGCGAACACTATTAAATTGAAGAAACAGTACATGTCCTTGGTTATGAGGTGCCAAATTGAGGATAAAAAAGTGCCAAAATGTGCCAAATTGAAAAATTAAGAGCCATTTGAAGTAAAATAGGAACAAATGGCACGGTTTGAGCCAAGTTGGCATCCCTGCTTCCAATAACTTACAAATATAAAAATGTGAAATATCGAGGGCTTGAATTCATTAATACCCTCTATCTGCAATTTGCACAAAAACTAATTTGTGATTTTAGAAACCATCTGGGACTTATTACCTGTCGTTATATAAGAAAGCATTAATATCACTGATGACAGTTAAAGCTTAGGTGGATTTTTATATCAGAATCTCATCTTTGTGAAAAGTGTGCAGATAAGGGGTATTATTGAATATAAGCCCTCGATGTTTAAAATATATACAAATTTTATTTCAACGTATACAAAAAATAAATCTACCTGCGTTACAGCACGTCGGGAGACGGGGAAGGGGGCCGCGGCGTAGCGTGACGTGGTGTGCGCGCCGGGTGCGCGGGGTACGCGGGGCGCGAGCGCGACGCGCGCTGTGTGGCGCGCTGACGCGGGCCGCCGCGAAGCTAAGCAAATTTAATGTTTGAAAGAGAAATAATGTCAATTGATTTTATTTCGTTTTTAAAAAGGTAATAATGTCAATTGACTTTATTTCGCACCAGGGAGGGAAATAAAGTCAATTGACCTTATTTCCGTTGATCTTATTACCTGTCACCAAATTATATACTGTCTTTAAGATAATGTATGAGCTTTAAGATAATGTATGAGCATTCAACAGAAATTTCTAAACTTTTAGCCCTACCTAGGAAAATTCTAAAAAAAATTTATCGAAATATTTTTAAATTTAATTTTAATTAACCGCTGTTGTAAAAGGTGTATTATTCCATACTCTAGCCCAATAAAGGTAAAGGTAAGGTTTTGCAATGCAGAGATTTTTAAAATTTGTTTTTTTGTTTTCGCTAACTCTATATTTCACTCCTTAACTATCGTTTTTATAAAAAATTTACGATGCAATTTTGTGGCCCATTTTTATGTAAAGCAAATGTGTAAAAATATTTTGTAGCCAATTGAAACTAGCACTTTATTATACTAATATAATTAAAAGTTTAAAAATTTAAAGCGCTACAAAACTGCATACCCGAAAATTTTCAAGAAAGTATCATTTACTTATACACTGCCGGTCACTTGTATAGTTGCAGCCTTTGTTGATTTTTTTTATGTGTATATAGTTTGAAAATCAGATTATAAAAAATCAATGAAGAATCAATAAACCAAAACAAAACTGTCAATACTGCCGATCAAAACGGTCCCCTATGTGGTGGGGATTAAGTGTACATATAGTATATATGAAATACTCATCTATTAAAAACTCATTAGTTCGATGGCTGCAGATTGAAGGTAAGACAACTTGACAACATAAATTTACAGTAACTAGTCTTTAAAGTATATCGACATTCGCTGCTAATGAAATTACTCAATAAGGAGGATTCTCGATTTTTTTAGATAGATTCACGGAACGAATCGGAACAAAAAATCGATCTTCGATTTAATCGATTTTAAACGGCATCTCTAGTTTGTACATTAAATGCGTGTATACATATGTGTACTTATTCATGTATGTATTGTGGGTATAATTAGAAATATTTTATGTGCATTAGACTATACCAGAAAAAAAATTTCACCGTACACACGCTGAGTCTAAAGCATTTTTGCAAGGAAACTTCAAACCTTTTTTTTTGCCGAACATGAAGGTCGAGTTTTTAAATGTTTCCTCATATCTTTGGCATTTACAGTCGGATCTTAAAGTGTGATTAATCGATGTTTCTCTCGAGGAGAATTGGTTTTGTACCAAAGTTGACCTCAAGTACCCCCTACTAATACTTAACCACCTGATTTCCCTTTTTATCACCCTAACCTACCACTCTAATGTCAGTATTTAAAGCTCTCCAAAAATAAATAACATTTTGCTACTTTTTTGTTTATTCCAGTTGAACTATTAGGTAAAATGAATAAAGACGGCCCGATTCCTAGGCTCTGCCGAATTTTTTTTTTCGTAGTTGCCTTGAAATATATATGATACTTTAAGGCCAGGGCCGCTCGGCGAACTTTGTTTTGTGCGCTTCTAAAGTGGTCCGGTCTAGTGTGCATATGCATTCATGTGAGTATGCATTGCTTTTCTTCATGGCATAATTTAATCTTGGGTTGGTAAGGTGCAAAGTTTCCTCCTAATACCCATACAAATATAAACAGGGTGTTTCAAATACTGTATATGTATATATATGTAAATTTATTTACTTCCACGTGCTTCCTATATATGAATGTATGTATGTACATATGTATGAATTTATATGTATTGATATTTTGTCTATTAATTATAAATTAATGTACATATTAGTAATGTAATAGTGTAAATGATGATCATGCCGGGTCGGTAATCGCACACATGATCACCATACTTACATACAAATGACAAAAATATCATCGGCAACAGGCAGCAGGCAATTAAGAAACATAGTAATGCTTTGAAAAACGATTTGATTTGATGCAGTAGACTAAAAAACAAACAAAACACCAAATAGATTAAAATATTTTTCGAAAATTAAATTAAATTAAAATTAAATTTTTCTTTTTAATTGCAAAATTTGCAATACTTTACTTTTCCATCTTTCACATCACCAATTTGATAGATATCACAGACTTTCAAAAACACTTTTTAATTTTTGATTATTGTTAAATATATTTCTTTAGAAATTTTTTTCTTTCTCTCACAAATATTAACAAAATATTTGATAAATTTCGTTTTTTAATTCTTTTACTCTTTGCCGTTCGAAAATTCCACGCATTCGTATTTATTTATTTAATTCTTAATTTTGCCCACTTTTTTTTATTTCCACAACTTCTTTTAATAAAATACCGCTCGCTTTGATTAATTAATCCGCTTCGCACGAATATCGATCTAGAACTGAAGCGCTACCAGCAGCCGTAAATCGTCGGGGGTAACCTAAATATTTACTTACAGTACCGAACAGCTGCTGTTATCACCAAGAAATTTGCTTATCACCAAAAGCGAAAAAGGCGCTCTTCGTGTGAAGAAGAAGAAGAAGAAGAAGAAGATAGGCAGTGTATAGAAATCTTCATGCTGGCGTCAGTTAAAGTAATGAATGGGTAAAAATTTAATCATACTACTATGAATATTGTGTAAAATGTGCGTGTTTGTATTAAGAACAGCAACATTTGTTTACATACATATTTCTCGTTTAGTCAGAATTTTTTCGAAGGCATGTGAGGGTTATCAACCGCTCTAGAAAGCAAAAAGGTAGTGAATTTTCCTATGAGTCCCCAAAGTGAACAACTTTGCCTGCTATAAGAAGTGCTAGGAACATTTGGAGGTTGTCTCACACTGGGCTTATAACTTTTTGAGAATATTCAATGTTATCGAAAATACCTTCCATTCGAGATTAGACGAAGCTTTAATCAAAATGACCTACTTTAGTGGAACTTTTTCAATTTTATGCTGAAAAGTGTTATACGTTCTAGTGATCTGAAGCGTCGCACAGTGGGCTGGAAGGAAACTCCGTGGTAAAAATAAAATTACCTCTCTTCGAATTTACTGTTTTGGGTAACTTTTTTCGAATTAAATATAAATGCATATATTTCAAGGGAAATTCATGTAAAAATGTAAACCAAATATTCAAGGTTGCAAGTGACCAAGTCAACAAGTAATATTTCATTTTTCAAACAAGGTCGAAAATATATAAAAAAAAATTGCTAAATATTAATTTTTAACCCCAACCTTAACCTTACCTTTATCTTTAAACTTACCTTTAACCTTAACTTTACCCCTACCTTAACCTCAATCTTAAACGTAACTTTAATGTTAACCCTAACTCTAGCTTTAACCTTACCCTCAACCCTAACCTTAACCTCAACCTTAACCTTAATCTCAACCTTAACCTCAAACTTAACCTAAACCTTTCGCTTTATCTCTTTTCCGATCTCAATCTTGGCATCTACTAAAGTGACGTCCAGTATAACGAACTTTCGAAATAACGAATTTTCAAATCAACAAAAAACAAATCAACAAAATTATCACAAATCTATATTACGAATGCGAACGATTTTTATTATCCGATATAACGAACTCTGTTTATGTTTTTAGCTGAAACTTTGTGTCCTTTGTCAAATCAAAGGTTTCGTTAAGTCAATGGTAGTTTAACTTCGGAAAATAAGTATGTAAGTACATCTATCTACTTTTAGGTAAAGTTTTACGTAAATTAGGTACAATTTTATAATTCGATTTTCCATCCCTGATGGAATAACAGGTATAAAAGAGGACCAGAAACGAACAGCTGATTGCTCTCTGTATATATAAATAAATAAATATACCTCCAAGTCAAAATTAAACATACCTAGCAGGGTTGCATAGAGAATCGGACATAAATTAATAACTAATTGGCAATTAATAATTGGAATTTTCGTATGATAAATTGGGTAACAATTAAGGCCTAAATTGGTGAAAAGGTTCTTAATTGCCAATAAGGTGCCTGTTTGAACATAGTCTAAGCCTGCAGTGTCCTCTCAGGTACACAGTGATAGTTTTTCGAGTCTCCAGTCTAAAATTAAGCACCCGCTCAGAGATTTCACGTGAGAGAGTTATAAATCTCGTGGATCGTTATAAATCTGTTTCTCAAAATCTCAGGCGGCCCACCTGGAAAATGTGTAGCCGTATAGCTTTCGAAAGAAGGCGATTTAAATAGCTTTTGTCTCTGCCTAAAGGCCTTCAGTAGCGGACTTTTGCTTGGTAAGACCCGGGTTCGAATTCTGGTTCCTCCACCAAACAAAACAAGTTGGTTTTTCGGCCAGTCTTGAGTGAGATATTGATGTTCAGCGGAGTTTCAGCGCAAATAATAAATAAAAATAATAATAAAATAATAAAAAATGAATGAAACGCTTGTTTTGATAATACCAAAATTTTGGAACCACTTTTTTCTAAATATCCTACCGCCAACTTTTAATTAATGTACCTCACACAGCAGCACATGGTTTTTGCGATGTTTTTCGACGCTGATGCTGAGCGAAAATCCTTCAATACGGTTGTCCTTTTTACGCTGCTGTCCATGGGAACTCTCACACATGCAGTGAGAGCAAAGCAAACACCACACACAATGCGTGGGTTGAAAAGCACACACGTTCTCTGAAAAGCTCCCTGGAGAGAACAAGGGCTTGTGGTGAATATACTTACTAAATATGTACAAGGTATGCGCTTGAAAGCTAAGTAAAAAAAAATTTAAAATATAAAGCAGATACTTCCACAGCGGTGAACGGCGAACAAAAGCGTATGGCTGTGCAAAGCCAATGAAAAGAAGTTGGAGCAAGAAGAGAGCGAGTGGTGAGAGAGCGCATACCACACACTGCAGCGTTGCGAGTGGAACATCGAAACATCGCATAAAGCTTACAATTAGGCGCTTACACACTGCAGAGTCCGTTCATATTGAGCTGACAGGATACGTGAGCCTTCTGGCCTGCTGAGTACTGGCATTGATGTTCGGTGCGTTGTGGTCGCAGTCGTTGCCGTCGTTGAAGACGTTGTAGTCGCTGTCGGTGTCGTTGATAACTTGCTGGTGCTGTGTTGCGCTGCGCCGCTGCTGTTGTGGATTTTGTTGGAATTTAAAAAAAAGTGTGTTTTCGCCAGGATTTTTTTCTTTTTCACTCGGATTCCTTTAATTTCGTCGGTAACAATTTTCACGGAAGCAATTCCCGGAAATGCGCAACGGGAAAAAGTTGAATTAGAAAATTGTGCAACACGGAAATAGGAAAATTATCTACATATGTACGTATTTAATGTGTGCACAGAGTAATGTGGAAAATGTGAAAAATGCGAGAATCGCAGAAGAATGTGAAAAGTTATGAGAATTCAGCGATTACATGCTGCAAGAAAATATATATGTAAAAGCAGAAAGAGAAACGGAAATGTGAAACTGATCTATGGTTTTGTGTTACGCTGCCCATAAACGACGGTAAACACATAGAAAATCTTGCTCGAATTTTCGTTGCTTTCATTTTTCAGTTTCTATAAGCTTTTTTTTTTTCTTCTTTGTATTCGACATTTATTTCATACTTTTCCTACCTTTTTACACCTTCTTCCGGGCAGCGAATGTGTGTGTTGCTTGGTTGGTCGCTGGTGTTGTTCGGTCGTACAGTCGGTCGGTCGGTCGGTCGGTCGGTTGGTCGGTCGGTTGGTCGTAGGGTCGAACGGCTGAAAATTTTATAGAGTCCTTGTACCCATTCGTACGTCGGCTCACTTTTGTAGGAGTTCAATATAATATACTAGATATGTGTGCATAAGCTTGACATACATACATACATGCATTCAGATATACAAATGCATGCATAGACATATTAATAATATGCACATATGTGTGTGTTGTTGTTATTGTCGCGAGCGAGCATAAGCACTTTTCCTCAGTTACGTTCGCTCGGGCGAGGGAAGAGCTTCCTACCAACCATTCTCTTACACACCGAAATTCCTCGTGCAACTATGTATCAGCCAGCGATCCATTCATCCTGCCTGCCACAGCAAACATGATGATGGTGATGAGAAGGCCTTAAACAAATGTTAATTTAACAGGGCAAGTGAATAATTAATTTTGAAAGCACCATTGGGCCGCAGTGTCCACCGCAGTGCGTAAAACCGACCATCAAAAAGGGCAACGAAAACGAAAAACAAAGCAACAACAAAAGCTTTGAAAAAAAATACAACAAAACGACTCGGTGAGCTCCAAATGACAAGCCTGTGTGCAAATGTGCCCTTTGGGAGCGTAAAAAAAAAAAATGTGCAAAATCGAAATATGAATTTGCGGATGAATATTCTTAAGAATAGCTATTAAAAGGTGTAAAATGTGCTAAAGAGAATTAGACTAGTTAAGCGAGTATAAAAATAGTGGTACTACAAAAATTAAATATTACAAATAATGAACGAATGAATTAATCGATGTATGTAGTTTTTTTTTAACTCTGCTACCTTAAAAAAGAGGAACATCAGTGTGCGCTGTAAAACTAAACAAAAAAAAAAAAGTTACGAAAAGGCTCAGCGCTTCTCAGAAGAAATCTCATTGACAGCATACAAATCCGAGTGCTGAGCATGAATGGAAGGAAATAATTCACTCCCTGCTATGAAAAGTCACGCGCAAGTACATAGGCAGTACCAACCCATACATAGGCGCGGGTTGTAGTACTCACACTCTCCCTCCCACCCATACTGGCGCACACATACACCCACATGGCATACACACCCACTATGTTGTAAAAATTCTATACATACATATATACATTTATGCATTCAAAGGCTCAGTAGCAGCTGACAAACAAACGCGTGAATATGTAAAGGTATTTAAATGGTACAGTGTGTCAAACTTTATCTAAAAAGTTGACAAAGTGGAGCGTGAAATTGGTTTGTTTTAAATAAAAGGCTTTTAGTCTAGTCAATCTGGCGCGATTATATAGTGGGCACTCCGAAAAATCTAACGAAACTAGGAAAAATTCTAATCGAATGTCTTGAATAACTAACATATCAAAAAAGTTCCATCCACTGTGACCGGGGTATTATTTAAATTAATTAAAAACTAAATAAAAAATATTGTTCAAATCAACACCAAGAGCTATGAGCGGAAACTTTTATGCAACGTGTGGTGGTATAAGCACAACCAAAAAAAAATGTCGTTGTACACCTCTGAGTCTAAAGAATTTTTTTGTAGGGCAATTTCGAAAAAAAAAACAATTTTTTGGCCCAACGTCCTTTTACAATTTTTGGTGACATTTACATTTGGCAGTACAAAAAAAAATTTAAATAGTTCTACTAAAATAATCGCAACACTTCCTTAGCAAAAGTTTAATGATTTTTGGTGAGCTTTAACTTACAGACACATTACATTGGTACATTAGGGTGATGCGAACTGAGATCTAGTGGGTGCGTACTAGAACGCGGTATCTAAGATCGATGAACTTTGGCACAAACAAGAATTGTCTCCTCGAGACAAGAACAATTGATATATCATACTTTAAGATTCGACTGTAAATGCTAAAGATATGACGAAATGTGTTAAATGTTAAGTAATGTTAAACATATGACGAAAAATGTTAAAAGGCGACCCCTACGTTCGGCCAAAAATTTTATATGTATTTTTTTTTTAATTGCCTCCTCGAGACAACAACAATTTTTCCTTCATATCTCTCGCAATAGCTTTAGTAGCATCGTGTAGCGTACATTTTTACTTGGGAAAGCTATTTGGGGTGAACATTTTCATTTATCGATCTTTAGCCATTCTTCGAAAAATTCTAAACTTGTAACACATTTATTGAATACGGTCTGAAAAAAAGTTGTACTCTAGTGTGCTATAAATAATTCGTATTGTTATAAGCACAATTTAATTTGGTAGGGTATATTTAAAATCTACCAGACCCATTCGCTTTGCTTCTCTATCTCATCCCGAGAAGGCAGAAGAGACGTAGCTTTTGTTTTTTTCCAATAATTTCGATGTCGTCGCGATACGTCAGCAATTGTACGGTCTCATAAAGTTTTGTTCCCGAGCGATTCAGTTCTGCGGCTCTTATTATCGTCTCCAACATCAGGTTAAAGAAATCACACGAAAGGGAAGCCTCGTTTGGTATCAAACGGCTCGGAGAGGTTCTTCCCAATTCTGACGGAGCTGGTGATATTGCTCAACGTCATTTTACACAGCCGTATTAGTTTCGCGAGGATTCCAAATTCAGACAACGCCGCATAAAGACAACTTCTCTGCTGTCAAAAGCAGATCTGATGTCAATTCTGATCAGAATGCGGGCATACCTCTAACCTCCTGTAAACACAGATTAAAGGCAGAATATATCGAGGAGGTAAATACCAGGTGTGCTGTGGAAACCGCTTACCATACTACCAGGAAAATTGGGTCAAAGATTGATGTAAGGCGATACTTATGTAGCTCTTACTCAGCTGGACCGGTCTTGTCTCAGATTAGTAGTCGGGGTAATCTCCGGACACTGCCTGACGGGCACGCAGCTAAAAGGTTAGGATACCCCACCAACGATTTTTATTGATGTTGCAGGGACTAGGAGGACGAGGAGGAGGAGACCATCCAACACTATCTCTGCCATTGTGCCGCCCTGGCGAACACGCTCAACCAATTCTTCAAACAGTATTTTCTGGATTGTTTAGCCATTCTGTTACTGTCGAAAGCAGTTTGGTGTGACAATGAAGCCAAAAACTACTGAAAGACTGGAAATCTTTAAACTGGGGCCCAAGCGCCCGAGTGGCAACGCGCGTAATAACCAAATAAGCTCGTCGTAAAATGCTTGACGTTTTATCACTTCCTCTGCCTCGTCTTTCTTTCTATCTTCAGCACCCAACTTCAACACGTGACGCCCTGTCACAAATGAATATTCCGTTTGCTCGGCTCTAGCACCGCGTTATTGTGGAATGCTTTACACAAATTGTATTGGCATGCGGATTATTATCAGTTCGCCTATTCCTAAGTTCCGCTCCGTAAAAAATTGCAGAACATACGTCGTATTGAAGAAGATTGTTCAATGTAAAATTTGGATGAAACCATGCCAATTTTTGGTTTTAATTTTTGTATAGTTAGGATAAGTACTGACGCACAGGAGTCCCGAAACTTTTACGATAATAGAACCAACAAGAAATAGCTTTCAGTTTATCGAACCCCACATCAAATTACTAAAAGTCAAAGGCACTGCAATAGAAATATGAATAAAAACATACTTTATCTTTTAATGTCAGTTAATAAATTGCTTCACTGTTTTATTAATTATTGCTTTATATGTAGTTCGGTATTATGTCTGAAAACTGTATGCGCATTTCTGGGGTAGTATACAGTTTCGACCTGAATTTGTTTTTTGTAAAAGTTTAGACCGAAAACCTTGTTTCACAACGATACGTACTGAAGCATAGCCTTTTTAGCTTCTTCACGGTATTCACTCCTAACACTAACCCAAACTCGTTCAGAGACACAGACTCAAATATGTGTTTCAATGTCGAAGAATTCTAGAATTCTGAAGATCTACGTCTGCTTCGTTAATGGATTTTGCACCCAACCGATATCACTACTAGTTACCATCCGAAAAATAATCTAATACATTACACATTTCATTTGGTAATTTATCGCGTTTCTTGTAGAAAGTTCAGAAATTTTGTTTTCTGTTAAATGATGATAGCTTGCCTCTCGCCAAATATACGGTTGTTGAAAAAGGTTGCGAAAGAGGTTTAAGAAGGTTTTAGTTTGAAATTCCTTTTCAAGTGTGTTAAAAAAAGAAGTGTGAAAGTCTCTTTCTCTCCCTTGGGTTTAAATATGTACATATGTTATTAGTTTAATTGAAATAAAATACACCTAATCTAACACGCATACATAAATCTCATTCACTCAGCGAAGCGGGTGAGGTCAAACTAGTACATAATAATATTTTTTATATGGATGACAGAAATACATTCGGAGCTTTGCCGTTGCCGGCCGAGCGACCGCTGTTAAGAAAAAACATTGTTTCTATACTTTTTTTTGTGTTATGTGTACCATGGCTCGAACACGGGACGTTCGGAGTCGTAGAGTGCGGTACACTCAACGCTCTTATTTATTTAGGTATGCCACTCAGTACAGCAATCATACCAACTACGAGTATATATCGACACCTGAGTGGATGATCGACCTATCTCGGCTGCCAGTTCGGGAACGCCCTATCTCAGAAAACTTTTCCAGAACGCCCTATTTCACAATTTTATTGAAAAACACGCTACCTCAAACGAAAATGTATTGAAAATGTGCTGAGATAGGGCGTTTTTGAATCGGCAACTGGGATAGGGCGTTTTTGAACTGAATTCTGAGATAGGGCGTTCTTCAATTAAATTCTGAGAAAGGGCATTCTTGAAAAGCTTTCGAACTGGCTGGCGAGATAGGTCGATCATCCACTCAGGTCTCGATATACTCGAAAATAGATAATTGGGTCTCGGGCA